ATGCGCCGTTTTGTTCGTAAACTTGTTGCCAACTTCATTATACCTCTCTTGTAGAAGACTGCGTCCCTATTGCCAAAAAACTCTTAGATCCAATTTTTACAGGCCTCTTTTGAGGCCAACTTCTCACCATTAAGCGCGTTCGCCATGGACAGGAAAAGATGGTAATCACTTGGTGCCAGGTCCGGACTATAAGGTGGGTGTATTAGAACCTCCCAACCGAGCTCCAGGAGCTTCTGGCGAGTTACCAAAGACGTGTGTGGCCTGGCGTTGTCCTGATGGAACACAATTCGGCCTCTGTTGATGAAAGATATCCTCTTCTGGATGAGTGCTGCCTTCAAGCGGTCCAGTTGTTGGCAGTAGAGGGCCGAATTGAGCGTTTGGCCATAGGGGAGCAGCTCGCAGTAGATGATTCCTTGCCCATCCCACCAAACACACAGCAAAACCGTCAATCTGGTCTTGGCCACCATCTGGGCCGCTTCCCCGAGCTTTGACCACTACCGTTTGCGCTCGATGTTGTCATAAGTGACCCATTTTTCATCGCCAGTCACAATCCGGTCGATTTTGTTGCGATTCTGCAGCGATTTGCAGATGGAAATTCGGTCCATCATGTTTTTTGCGTTAGTTCGTGTGACACCCAAACATCGAGCTCCTTTTTGAATCCAAGGTTATGCAAATGGTTCCAAACGGTTTTCTGGCTTATCTTTAGTTCCTCAGCAATTAAATAAGTGCTCAAGTGACGGTCTGTTTCCACTATTTCCATGATTTTATCGCAATTTTCGACGACAGGGGCCCATAAACTAAATTAATGTTTTCAGCCGCTTTGGCTGCTTTTTCGCTTTGATCGAAGAAAAATTGTAAAATATAGCGAATTTTCTAAAAAATTTTGTCTCCATTTTTGAATTTTGATATTAACTGAATTTTACGTGTTCATCATAAATAAATATGCGTTATACCATAAATCAGATTAGTACTTTTTGTAATATAAAGTTCTTAAGATCCAATTTTGACCTACTATGACCGAAAAATGTTATGCACTTACTGATCAATTTATCGGTTTAATTCAACTTTCGAAGCCAAGTATTTCAAAATTGATGGCTAACTCCGAAAAACGTAGACGTTACTTTTTACTTATGACTTAATCTCTCCAAAAAAACTGGTTTGGTCTAAGACCCAGCCGAGTGTCGTACAGGATAATAACAAGTCAAGTGTCTTTATATCGAAAGCACCAGATTTGCTAATAAACATAACACATTTTAAATTATTAAATAAAATAAATATTATAAAAATAATTTAAATTGTTCAGAAAAAAAACATTAATAAAAACTAAGTTTGATACTTATTTTGCATTTTATTAATATGTGCAATGAATTATTGGAGTATTTAAAGCAAGCACGATTTTATTATGAATTATTTGAGCAAAAATACTTTGTGGTTGAAACCGATGTTAACGTGATACGCTGGGATAGATTCCCAAAAGTTGCCGGAGAGCTTTTATGGTTGGTGAAGATTTTAGGAAATCGTGCTAACTGAAACAAAATTAATAACAGAGATTTTATTTGCCTGAAATTTTTTATTAAAGTAAGTACGTTTTAGCTTTACATATTGTATTTTTTTGCGACAAAAGTTAACTTTGTTAAAAAAGCAATAAAATTAATGTTAAAAAAGTTGCAAAAATAAAATAGAATCGTAGTCTATTAGATAATGTTATGCTATAGTTAAAATTACAAATGGATACGTCTCTGAGTGTCATTATTGTCTGATTTAAAAAATATAGTTTTGATAAAACGACAAAAAAAAATTCTAGATTTTTTGAAAATCCATAACATTTCTAACCCTGTAAGAAAAGCTAGGGTCCATTTTGTGCTTAAAGATCAGTTTTGGGAAACCGCTGCTGTACCTTAAAGTCACTTCCAGCGAGCACAATTTTTTACCAGAAATATATTCCTTATACAATAGGATTGCTGCTTGGAATAAGGGTGAATTACGGGAATAACCGTATATTAATACTTTCGTGTAGCGTGAAACCGGAATTAGAGCATTATCTTGCTGGAATGTTTGATTTTTTCCATAGAAATCGCGCATAAATATTAACAGTTCATTTTACAAATATTTTAGCTAAATAAATATTTATGAGTTTATTTGAATGTGTAAAAAGTTATTCTCGACTTTCTTCTATGGTCAGATTCACCCCAAACCATCCATGACTCGTCGTCATCTTTTCGCTTAGCACAGTTTTATTGGGGATTCTGTAAATTTCTCTGATACTGATAATTACTACCGCGTTCATTTAAGATCTTTTTTTCCTAGACATTAGACATGAACAAAATTGGTTGATTTGCCAAATATAGAACCATCATTTACCGTTAAGTCTAGCTTGTTAATACCACAGGAAAGCATCTCTTGAACATAATTCATGATATATTATTGCTTATAGCAATCATAAGTTGTGTCCTTGAAGCTGATAGATGATTCTGCCATCGTAGCTAAAGCAGTTTATTCAAATATGTACATATCATCTCAATGTACATATCAGTAAAAAATAAAAGCGAAATCATAGCAAAGTTTTGCTTAAGTTAGCGAAATTTTTTGTTCCTTATTATATATCTTCTTAAAAGATAAATATACTTAAGTACTCAATCAAAACTTTCAAATTTATAAAAATTTAATATGTATATCGAACGAACATGTATTTGAAAATATTCTCGGAACATTGGGAATTGCAGATATGAGATTGATGATAAGAATTTTTAACTTAGTGTAATCGGCACCCAAAACTTTAAACGCGGTTTTCACGAAACTTATGGAATGATCGACTTGAAAATTTCACACGTCCTTCATGTATATATACATTTCTTTGGTTTTTGGATTTGAGATAATTTTAAGTAGAAAAATCTTCCTCATCGCTAGACGACTTTCTTTGGAGGTTCTCCTGAAAGTCGGAATGGGATTAAGGGAGTCACATTGAATTCTTTAAATGCACATTGTAAATTCATTTGTTAAATAAAATATATCAAGCAACACAAAAAAAACGTGTAATTTCTGACTTGCAAGTGTACCATATAGTAACCTGCTCCATAGAGGGAAATTTGGAAATTAATAATAAATATAATACCATATGTATATTTTTTGTTGATGTTACATGAGCTCGAGTACATACAATATGATAACTTTATATTGATCGGGTAAAGCATCCAAAAGAAACGTTAATGCATATCTCATAGTGAATTGTTTTTGCAGAGCACCCGGCCTCAGATCTGTCACCCTTACTCCTTCACAGATATTACCCCTTAAACATAATGTTGCTTTCCGAGCAACGGGAGATAGTCCCCTCTACGCAATTCACCTGTAGAAGTCCCGTTGGGTATTTATGACCTTGATATTATTTTTACTTTATTAACGAGCTCTAATTGCCGTGATTATATTTGGGTAGCTTGATTTTATCGTTTACCGTGGTAACACAATAGCATAACTCTCTTAACATTTATGCATATATGTATGTATGTAAAAAGTGGTGTAAGATACTAAATGAAAGAAAATATGGTCAACAGTTTACAAGTGGTGGAAAAATAGGTACTAAAACCCCTATAATCTCCAGATCCATGGGTATTTCAAATGTTTTTTTCTTCTTTTTTTAAATTGTCTAAGTAAGGTCTTAAACTAGACTAAAATAATATAGCGTACGTATATAAGATGAAAGTGACTAAAAATGTATTAAATGTCTATGAAACGGACTTAGGGAACAGTTTTACATATATGTGTATTTTATATATGTATAATATTAATTTTTTTTCAAAAATTGGAGAAACGACTTACAGTTTCCATAATTAAATTAATATATTAATCCACAAAATTTATAATAAATTTAATATTCGTACAATTATTTATTTATTTACATATTTTTGTAAATATTTGTTGATAAATAAGAAAATAAGTGTTAAATGTTCTGAACGCGACTGTTGTGATGAAATAAGTCGTTGCTTCTTGTTTTTTTTTTTAATTTTTTTTTTTGTACCCGTAGACAGATATGCCCAATTGCTTTATTTGCATATATTTATTTATCAGAAGAATTTTACAACTAAACCAGCTTAATCTTAAAGAAATGGTCCCAATGCCCTCGTTCGTGAAAATAATGAATGAGAAATAACATAAAGAGCATAAAGAAAGTATAAAAACCAAACCGTTTACTGATAAGAATCTCTCTTTCCAAATTACTAACGCTGCAACGAATCGTACTGCCGAACGTTTTAGGCGAGCACAGTGCTGGAAGTACTCATCGGGCTTATCTTGCTTTCGAAGCGCTTATCAGTCAGAAGAGAGTTGTAGCGTACACCGCGTCAGTTATAGCCGACGACTGTTCAGACGAAAAAATACAGAATCACAGACTGAAAAACAAAAAACTTTTGTCCCGAAGAGTGTTTTACCGAAGAGTCCGAAGTAGTCTCTTAAAGCCATCACATTAAAAAGACGTTTTCAGTGCTAACGGAGGAAAAATATACATACATATGTATATGTTTTATAAAAATATAATACAAACAAACATATTTCATAGACATTTTCAAAACAAAACCGATGAAGTTTTGGCTGAAGTGAGACGATATAGTGTTTGAACATTACCGAAGTGTGAAAGACAATAAATTTAAAAAAAATTTTGCTATAATTGAAAAGCTGATATTTGTATCGTGAAAGTGCCATCTTATAATAACGCAGTTCCAATCTTACAAAATGAAAACTTTCATAAACACAGTGGGTGATTTTACATTATCTATTGTTATTTTTATATACTTTTTTTTGATTTGATAAACAACTTGACTCATGCCATCTACGAAGCCGATATATGCACATATATAAAATATATTTAATGGCATGGAATATTCCTTTATTACTTTCGCACGCACATACATACATACATATGCACGATTAATTACTTAAAATAAATTTTGATATTTTTTTTGGCCGCTACGAGGTGTACTCAAACTTCCACCTACTAAATTCTATTCCAGGAGAGCGAAATTATCGACGTGCTCTGGAAGCAAGATGTCGATTTGGGTTTTTCATTGACACCACCGCATCTGCTGAATGCAACCGCTAATAACGGTAGTACAGGTGCAGGCGCCGATGACGATATTGAGAAGTTGAAAGCGCTTAAATTAGATAAGGTAAGTGTGAGCAGCAGCGACGTCGGGGGTCGTCAATGTGTTCTGGTAGAAAAGCATGCGATAAGCATGTGCTTGGCACTCTCTTTGGAGACGCGAAAGGGGTAAAAGTGTGCGATTTAAACGAAAGCATGCGAAAGCATTGGCGAACAGTTAGATATAATTCATTTCACAGACAGGTGGTGAAATAGGTTTTCGTTTCAATTATTAAAAATCCGTGTCGGAAAACTAAAATGATGTCGCAGTTGCAAAAGCGTTCTGTAGATGTGACTTTGCGTATGGGGTGATCTTGTTCTTAACCCTAGAATGGTGTTTGGAAAAAGTAGTCAACTGTTAATTTTTAAAAATTACGATTTGAAAAAATATATTAATAATTGAAAATTCTCTTAGTAAAAATTCTAAATAAGAATACCCAAATGAAGATGACATTTTATCGGACCTTCTTTTGACATCTTTTAGTCTCTCCTTATAGTATCTTATTGTTAAAATCTAAAATCTTTTGGATAAAGCTGTAAAAGCCGATATTTCTTATAAAAATTGTCACTATGTCCGTTGAACACCATAGATAAGTGTTTTTATAATTCAACTTTTTCAAATTCATAAAAAATTGCATTAAAAATAACAACTTTTCAATAAAATTTCAAGAGAAACCCCAAACATTGATGGTCTTAAAAAATTTATTGAAAATTATTTAAAAAATGTTTATTATTCGTAATTTTCTTTAAACTGCAAAGAAACGTCAAAATGTGAATAAAAATCTTCAATTAGGAATATATAACATAACAGATCTGAAGTACCTCACCACATCAACTCTAGGTTAAGATCTGTCTTTCAGAAATTACAAACAACTAACAGAATTGTTGAGGCAAAAAAATAAAATACTCTGAGATCGACTTAAATGAAACAAATAAACTCTCTGAAATCCGCTACGCTAAGCAGGGCGCTCAATTCTCAAGCTGTAGCATACACACACACTCCAAACAAAGTGAGGGCTGAGCGCCAAAGATCGCTGATCTTCACATAAAATGCGCTCAAATCATAGATAATACATTAAAAATATTCATTTTATATTCATTTATTAAAACATAACGTTATGGACCAAATCAGTTCAGATTAAATGTGAAATTTCGGGAGCTTAGTTGTAAATATTGTTTCATATATATACTTATACCAATATAAAGTGAGTGTAAAGGCATTTGACAAAGATGTGTTGGTTCGAGCCCATATTGAAAGGATTCGTGAAGAAGTCACGCAATCTGATAAATTCAACGAAGTCGAAATATTATACTTATACGAATAGAGGGCGTACCTATGTACTGAAGCGCAAGGTGAACGAGGAGGCATTAAGCGCCTGTCACAACCAAAAAAAAACACACTAAAAAAACAAAAAAATGTTGACGGTTCAACAGCAAACTCGCGACATTTTCCATGTTTTTCTACAATTTCTAAACTTATAGTTTTTGATTTTTTTACTAACTCTTCATTTGCATTTTTATAATGTCTCACTGATTGTGTTGTTGTAGCCAAGCTTTGAAGGCAAAGATGTGGGAGATGATGCTGGCGATATTGATGATGAATGGGCTGGTATACCCTTCACCGTGGACAATGAAACTGGTGAGTCTGATAAAATTATAAATATTAATTAAATATAATAATTAAAAGTAAAGTTATTGTAATGTTAGTAGATATATGCTGTGCCGAATTTTGCCTTTCGTGTTTGCGTGAATGCAGGACATAAATTAACTAGCCGAGTATGACAGTGCATACAATGAACAATCGTTTTTATATACATATGGATGTATGTATGTAAATTTGTATATGGGGAACTATAAATGCCTTTTGCGCAATTGAATGTTGAAAATTTTCCGATTTAACGGAAATGTATGTGGGAATACAAATACACAGACACGTAGTGCTTATAAAACGATTACTCAATTTAATTGAGATGGTTTAAAATATACATATGTATATGTATATTAGGGTGGAGCCAACAATTTTTTTTATTTTTGCATAGCCTGAGGGTAAAATTTGTAGATTATAAAAAAAGAAATTTTAAAAAATATAATTTTAACATCTATTTTAACTCGAAACTACTTTAAAAGTGAGTGTGCCTCCAGATGTTAAAAAATATTTTTTTTTATTCCAAAAATTTTCTTTTTTTTATAATCTACAAATTTGACCCTCAGGCTAAGCAAAGAAAATTTTTTTCACTCCACCCTAATGTATAAATACATATATATATAAGTAGTATATAATTTTTTTTAGATTTGAACATTTTTTAAAATTCTACTGTTATATATAGAGATTTATTTACGCCACATTTTGTTGGCTGCTCTATAATTCACAATCGAAAGCGATTTTTCTAAACTGCGTAAAGCTTCCATATTGCATATACATATGTATATAAGCGCTTTTTATAAATTTTCATAAAAATTTTTTTTGTAGATTAATCTTTGTTATCTAGTTAATAATAATCTAGTACTTGACGAATTCAAGTTGTAGCGATAAACAATTATATTTGATCTAAAATAGTATGCAGATTAAATTATTTGTAGATACTTTACAACCTCTGGTGACGAAGATGTAGTGAACTTCAGAACAAAATTATTAGATAATTTTTGTTGTTATTGTGGATGTCTTTATTACATATACATAATTTTATATTATATTATACAAAAAATTATATTATAACAAAACAAAATTTATTGTGGTAACACAGTAGCTATTATACCCTTCACAGGTACATATAGCCTAAAAGGGCATACAAAATATTTATCCGAATTTTTATCGGTCAGTTTATATGGCAGGTTTATATGCCACACATAGTGGTTCGATCTTAACAATTTGTTCAGATATTATACCAATGCTTTGACCAAAATACCCAATATTTTGCTCGGTCAGTTTGTATGACAGCTAAATGTTATAGTAGTCCAATATCGGCGGTTCGAACAAATGAGCAGCTTCTTGGAGAGAAAAGGACGTGTAGAAAATTTCTTATCGATGTCTCAAAAACTGAGGAACTAGATTTCATATATACTAGTTTTTATATATACATGGTCGACATTTTCTTCTGGGTGTTTTAACCTTCGTGACAAACTTAATTTATCCTACACAGGGTATAAATGATATAGACTACATGTACAGATTTCGAACTCAGTTCCATATATGTCTAAAATAAAAGCTGAAAATATTTAATACGCTATTCAAATTGAATTGTTTAAAAAAATTTAAATATATATATACATATATATATATTTTATTTTTGCTTTTCAAAGAAACTTTAGAATTTTTATCATTAATTAGTTAGCTGACATTAAAAACACTTGAACATTTCTCTAACTCGTTACTCTAACCGAGATCAGAGAGATTTCATATTCAAAAATAACATTTTTTTTTTTAAGTTTTGATGGACCTCCGATTTTAGTTTTCTTTGTAATTTTTCGAATTAAAAAAATATATATATGTACATATGAATATTATGTATCATTGTATAATCGTTTCCCGATATAAATTTTGTCAAGCATTCAAGCGTACAGTGCTTTTTAAAACTAGATCTGCAAGTCTAAAAGTTGTGAACCGAAATTAGATGTGGGTACTAAAATGTTAATGTAAGTATTTATGTGAAACATAAACCAGTGAGAATTCTAATTGCAGTTAAAATTGATTTCTAAGCTAAGTTTGTTTTGTATTAGTCTTAAATATAAACAAGATAATTTTTACCGCAGTGGAAATATTAGAACTAAATTGTACAATACTAGGTAAATATAAATTTTACCTAAAAAAATATATATATTGCGTAGTATATAGTCTATGTTTGAAATTTAAAAAGCTTTCATAGACGCAATAATCTGATGATAATAATAGTGATGAAGTGATGATAATAAAGTTGATTTTTAATAATAGTATCATTATTGTGTTTTTTTATTAGTGCTATTATTTCTAATCAAATCGGACACGTTCGGCTTCTCACTATTACTTTTTATAATCATATAATTATATTATAAAATAAGTAAAAAAAAAAAACTTAGACATATATTTATCATAAATTTGAGGGTCACACCTATTGTGGCAGCCAAAAAAGTGGATTTTTAGGAATTCAAAAAAATGATTATATCAAATTATGTTAACATTTTAAGGTTATATCGTAAAAATTTTAGTACGATATTTCTGAAGATATAGACTATCGATGAATGCAAGAAATTTATTTCGAAATTTCACACTAAAAGGGGCACATAATGGGGGCACATAATGCCATTGTGTTGACTCTCTATTCTCCTGTGA